AACTGCAGGCCGTCTTTGTTGATGTCAAACTGCTCTGATGCGAGGGCTCCAAGCCGGTCAAAGGCCCACACCCTCATGAGAGATCCACAGAGCGTGAAGCCCATCACAAAGCGTCGGGTGTCCTGTGCGGCTAGCACTTCCCTCGCATATCTCCCAAGGTCGATCCAAGCTTTGGAGGCGGTGTCGGCAGACGGATTACTCTTTAGTTCTCCGGGTACTAATATTTGCTTCCAGTGGTATGGAGGTCCCTTTAAATCATCGACAAACCCAACATCCAGTCTGCGGTCCGCCGTCGAACCATGCATCGGCGTGTTGGGCTGTATTAAAAGGCTCCGCTGATGTGTCGTATTGGACTTCTGGGCTTTTGCAAGTAGCGCCAGCGTCTTTACGATGTCGGCAAGCCACTCCAACACGCTTTTTTCGTTCGGATCCCGAGGCCATTCCCTCCAGCCATTTTGAAATACAGGCTCGCGGCCATCAAGGCACTGATCGAAAACCTCCTTGGATGCAGCTTCTAGTCCGTCCAATCTTCCAAAATACGCATCTCGGAATCCGGGAAGTCCCACGTACATAGTGCCTAGCTCCTCCTTCAGTATATCGTCAACGTATCGGCGGTGTTCGGATGAGTTCGTGAAACTGCTCGTGCTTCGCAGCCATGGTGTTTGTTGAAGCGAGGAAGCTATCCTTCGGGGGGGTGGCGTGGTTTCTGTAACGGCACTATATGCTTGATCCCAGATGGTGGCATCATCGAGTTTATGAGAGCAAGCCGCTTTCAGAAGTGGTTTGACGCGATTGAAGTCGAAGCTGTCGGAGACTGCGGCCGAGATAAGTCTGAGGAGATCACTTTGTATACTGCCGCAGCCCGATTTCGATGGTAGAGATATTGAAAGGACGTGGCTTTGCAAGGCAACCAGGAGAGGGAGGGTCAGGTTCCGAAGATCTATGAATAATTTAGAGGGGTTAAGCAGCGAGAGCCAGGGCTCGTACCTTCCTGGCCGAGTTGATCTACTGAATCTGTAGAATATGGCGTCTTTTCCCTGGTGCATAGGGACTTGAAAGTGCTGCGAACATCATCAAGCCCATTTCCAATGGGATTGCGCTTGATCTGTTCTGATAATCCGGTCATGGCAGATGGTAAGTGGTCGTCAGTCAGCGGATGGGGATTCGCGGGCTTCTGCATCTTTGGTCGGCGACGCGGTTGTCGGAAACTTGATATTCCGAAGTCAGCAAAAACACTGCCCAATCAATGGTTCAAGGGCAAGCCCCTCTTCACGCTAATCTGATTTGAGTTTTCTGGAGAGCCCAGACCATAGCGAAATAAACAGTCCGGGGCAACAATCAGTGTACCCATTGGACGTGGAGCCAAGGACCGTCCAATGAGTCGGTGATCACTGACTTTAGGATAGCATCGATCATTCGCCCCTCAAGGCACCCAGGCGAATCAGCTTCGGCCCAAATGCATGTCTCGATTTGCTTGCTGGATTGACAAACGGATTGGCACCTTGGTTAGCGCCACTGGAGCACGGGGGTTTCAAGACATGGCAGGCTGGAGAACTACTGTTTGTACACAGTAGCTCGATATACGTAGCCGATGCCCCCGGCACTGCCAGCTCATCGAGCGGAATGTCATGCAGTGCATAGCGAGAGTGCGCGATTGGCCGGGAAGCATACGGATGCCGACACAGCCTCAGCGCAACTTGGCTAGAGGGACCTGCATCTAAGCGCGCGCGTACGGCACAGTATTGCGAAAGGGAAGCTTGCGTGGGAAGATACGCATAGTGACACAACGCCTGGCCTGCCCGTCACGTTTGCCGTGATGAGTTATGTGGCAGTCCAGAGCCATTAATGAAATCTAAGAACAACACCTTTCTGGCTATCCATTCCACGCTCGAATGCATCGCCGAACTGGGAACCAGCATCTGCCATGACTGCGCCTCTACGCACCGCGCCTACCGACCTTATCTTTGAGCAACGCGACCCTATGGAGCGCTCGCACACGCTCGATCCTGATGGGGACGTGGTGCTTGTCCTAGAAAATACGAATCCAGCTTTTGCCCTGTGGGATCAATGCACCATCGCCGGGCTTCAGGAACTTAACCTATGGTACGAATGGCACTACCCGTGCTCGGAGATAAGGTTGAACGGCGTAGCTAATCATTTTGTACAGCCAGCCTAACAACCCGACGCATCTTGGAACACGCTTTCGAGGCGGGCACGCAAGACTCAGACCAGTCTCGTGGAATTCGATTTCGGCATTAAAGGCAGAACCAAAAGCAGAAGGCAGCTTCAGGAAATTGAGCAAAAAGGAGAAGAGAAAAAAGAAGAGGCAAGAAGAGTCTAAGTCTCCAAGGGTCGCGACCATCAGCGGCCTCGGTGTAGACGAATTGTCGCTTGCAGAAGATGAAGTTAGTCGAAGCTTGAGTGCTGCCGACTCGCCCGTTGCAAACGATGGCTCGTTACACCCGCAAACACTAGAAAGCCGAGACTCGCCTTGCGATGTCAAATACGATCAAACTCGGCTTCAAAGCCCAGTTTCTACGGTCTCACGCGTTGAGTTCATCGTATCGTCCCGACATCTCATTCTCTCATCACACTACTTCAAGGCCCAACTCTGCGGTTCATGGGCGGAGGCCTCGGTGCAATCCCGAGATGGCCGTCGTCATGCCCGAACACGGGACTGGGACGCTGACGCTCTCCTCATTTTGATGCAGATTTTCCATGCCAAAACGGGAGACACTCCCCGTCTTATTGACCTGGAACAGCTTGCCAAGATCGCGGTCCTAGTTGACTACTTCAGCTGTTACAATACTGTTAGATTCTTCTCGACTCTGTGGATCGACGCCCTCAAAGAACAACTGCCGTCGCAGTGCAACCGCGAGCTGGTTCTATGGTTATTCGTGGCTGTGGTCTTTCGTCGAGATGACATCTTCCAGACCATCACCAAGACAGCTGTCACAGAGAGCAAAGGGCCTCTCCCGACTCTTGGACTACCTTTCCGAGGAGACTTGATCGGTTTGTATTCCTGCCACCCTGTGTACATACCCCTTCTGATTGTGGCAGACCAAATCGACCTTCGAAGGCAGGATGCCATAGCAGGTATCCTGGGAACACTGGAAACACTGGGCACATCTCTACTTCGCGGCCTCACCGGCTGCGACTTTAGCTGTTCTTCTGCCCTCTTTGGTGCATTGGCAAAGGAAATGGCTAAACACAACCTAATGGACCCAGAACCCTGTGCACCATTCTTAGGCTATGGTATCACCGCGCTTGAGAAAGCGATCAAGGATTTCCAAACTCCTCGGTGGGGTCACTCTGTCTATCATGTATCAAGCTCGCGACCTTGCCAGCTGGTTGACATATGTACCAAATTGCTTGGGGAAGGGCTGGACGAAGTCAAGAAAGGGTTCACGCTCAGCGAAGTTGGTCTTTTCCGTCCTTGAGATGTCACCTCCGAAACCATATTTGGTATCTCTTTCATGTTAGTAGTCACTGCTCAAAAACTAATGCTTAGAGTCAATGAGTTGACCGGCCAAACGGCCAAACCTACTTCAAATGGCTCTATTTATGCGCCCATGAAAGCAAAGTCTGTGTGCTCGCAACCTTCGCCATCCGTGAAAGTAACTCAGTATCCAGCGATGCTCGAGCTAGAAGGGAGTTTGGGCCGGCGACTTTGCTACAAAGGAAAATGTATACCAGCACTACAGCAGTCCGGAATTCCAGTGATGGCGTTACGAAAGAGGGATCGCACTGTTCCCGTCCGCTTCATGCCCCACATGGAGGGGCAGAGAATGGTTCAGTTCCACTGCCTTCTATTAGTCGACCATTGGTCTCGCAGGCGAGCATAGGGAGAAGTGCTCTTGAGTCAGGCTTGAGTCCACAGTCCAGCAAGCAGGATGAATACGGTCGCCGAGTTCGGCAATGACATCTGAAATGGTGCTGAATCCCCATGAGCGGAGATCCGTGCATGCAAAACCTTCCCTCAGAAGCTGGAGGCTATGGCTTATGCGCATTCAGTGCACAGGCGGTGGCAAGGCTAATTCTCCGGGGAAAAGATCCTGGTGGTGGAAAGGTGCAGTCAAGAAGCACAAATGCACGGCTACAGTAGCACATCAATCAAGGACCACCATTCAAGACCAACTACATGAGAACCTACTCATGATACTGATAGGGGAAAGTGCCTCCTTTCGCAACCTCCTAAGATTGTGCTCTCCGTCCAGAAGGCAGCCTCGTCAAATCCTATTCCCACGCTCAGCTGTGCCTATTTACCACTACTAGATTCCGCATTGGACTAGTCATTGTAGGACACATTACCAACCAACCACAGGAGGAGATGGTAGAGCCTGAAAGTTTCAGCTCCTGGTCCATGATAGGTCGTGTAAGTGTACAACTTGCGAGCTTCGAATGAGCAAACGGCCGTAGTTGCCCTCCAGTGGGCGCGATCTGGACCAGGCCCAGAATATGCGACGAGGTTGTGGATGCAGCGACATATGAAGCTAGCATCTGCTCCGGGAGCACCTGGCCGGAGCATGTTTTGGACGTGACCTTTCCCGACGCCTTTTTCGGCGTGGCTCCTGCGTTCTTGAGGTCCCATATCGGCGAAGCCAGCAGACTTTGCCCTTGGCTTTCAGCGAGCTTCCCAGAGAGCGACAGTAAGCTTTTACCGATCGGGGCCCACATCCACCGACAGTACGGCTGTGGAGCTGTTTGCTCCTGTCACACAAGAGCAGCATCAGCTTTCAGCAAACAGTGCGCCCCCGCATTTACTTTAGTGGACTGAAGCGTGGACCAACAGCCGAGAGAGTCGCTTTGTCATGTACTGTACTTTGTACATATGTAGTTATCAGAACTTGGTGTACGGGAAGAGGTTGGACGCGACTGGCAATACATCGACTGAACCTGGTTGGGGGAGGCTTCGGAGCGTACGTTAAGCACTCTTCCACCTGAACGTGTCTCAACTAAAACCTGCCCCGTCGCAGGAGACACGATCATGTCTTTGAGAGCGCACAATACCAGCTTGAACACAGGCTTAACCCACTCCGAGCACCAAGATGAGCCGGGCCACAGAGCGACAGCCTTTAAGTTGATCTTCAGAACACCTCCATTCAGAAGCGGCGACATTGGGTACACAAAAATGTAGGATTCCGTACGATGATCAGAGCATCGCTAGTTGTGGCTGAAGCCTGAAGCTGATTATCAGAATACCCCACTGCCTCCTTTGCCTTCCGATTCGTCCAGCGATTTTTTTACTCGGGTCTCAGGCACCAATGTTGAAATGCCCCAATTTGACGACGAAGCGCAGATATGTCGTCTTGAATGATGTCGTGAGTGTTGTTGTGGTTTCGCACGACCCAACCACGGATCCAAGAAGCAGTGTCCACGGCTTCGGGATCGGACTGGTGCCGCGCGGCTGCTGAGTATCGTGACGCAAGGTCTTCGTTCCTGTTCTGAGGCAGATATTTGACAAGAGCTTCGAGAATCATCGTCAGGTGTGCCGAGCTTGGCACTCTCTGTTCAGTATCCGATACCGGTGCTGCCATCAAGAGCGCAAGCGCTTTCGCGCCGTCTTCGTTTTTGACAAATGCGATTAAAGCGGCCGCAAAGTTGAGAAAACGACATCCGTCAGGAGTCGACGACATCACTGCGAAACTTGTGGTCGAAACATTCGGGTTTGCCATAGATACATCGATTTCCCAGAGTATTGGTACGTCCTCTGTGGTTATAGTGTGGCCCAAACCCTGGCAGGCGAGGAGTGCTAGTGACAGCACTGGAACATGTACAGTGAGCGTCAAGAAAACTGATGTCCTTGCGGAAAGAGATGCAAGAATCGTCGACAGGATGAAGCCCTTCTCGTTGAATGCTGTAATATGTAGTACAGAAGAGTCGCCGAGTGCCTGCTGACGAAACCGGAGGCTGTGGACAAAACATCGCTACTGACACATATGGCGTAAGGATAACGGTCAGCACTGTGCGAAGCACCCACGAAACGTGGTCGCGACTATCGTGCCCGCTAGACACCGCGTGCAGGTTGGGGCAATCTTTTCGATGAGCTCGAGCCTGTCATGCCGCGAAGCAGAATATCCATGTCCAGCCACCCAGCCGATCGGGATTGGTCTCTCGGGCTATAGCCGCCCGGTAGACAGCGGCAAGGCCCCTTTGGAGGTCATTCGGCCTTGTAAACCACACCTCAGGAATGACCGCCAACGCGTGCATCTTGGCGCGCACGGCATGATAGGCTGTGGTGAATTCTTGAACGATACGTGGCGCCGACCTCAATAAGGTCCTATCGGCAACGTGCTACAAACTTCGCTTGCTGGATAATCGTGTAGCAGCAGTGCGCGAATCCTCCATACCTGCTGGCAGAAGCGAAAGAAATCGAGCAGTTGGGAGAACCACAACCTATGTCTAGTCTGGCTGCCACCGCCTGGCCTATCGGGAGGTAGAGCTTCAGTATTGCGATACTAGAAACCCACTATTGTTCGCCGGAGGCAACCTCGGCCGCAGAAGAATTCTACCACAAGGCGCGTACCAACCGAGCGGACGACGTGAGCACGGAATCCGCCCACGCCCGAGTCGCCGCACGTGTTTGCTGCTACCCAACTAAAGACTTCCCGTGCCGCCTTCTTCGCGGCAGTGTTGCCGGCAGGCCGGCGGCGGTTGCGGACCACTTCGGAGGTCTCGTCGAAGACCGTGGTGAGGAAGAGAACGAGGGCATTATCCTTCCAAGTGAACTGGTTAACCTAGAAGTCATCCAAACAAACAGATAAGTACGGAGTCAACAGCAAGAGACATTTTTGACCGCTTACTTGCCCGTCGGCTGTGGAGATTGGATGGGGCTGCCCCAAGGGGATTCCTCTACCTTCCGTCTCCTTCTCAGCCACAAGAGTCTTATCAATACCACCGTCTTTACGGCAAGTGCCCGTGGCACCGATCTTTTGGTCTCGCAGGGCCCGGAAGAGCTTCACGGAGGCGAACAAATTATCCAGAAATGCATGGTAGTTAGCCAATGGAAGGAGGGCAAGCAGCGAGGTGACCACCAGCTGGGTCAGCGTAAGTGCCGTCTTCCGGGCCGTTTGACCACCTGCTGCGGGCCGGGCTTGTGGCACAAGTCCGTAAGGCCCGTCGCCGTGGACGTGCCAGAGTCACCGGAGGCAGTACCCCTTTTGTCCCAACACCCATACCTTGAAACCCTGCGGGATCGGCTTCGTCGGGATCGTTGTGGTCTCCATAGACCGGCCCGTGAACCGGACCATGGCCTCGTCGACGGTGATGTCCGAGCCGGGCCGGAGGAAGCGGTCGCCGGTCTCTTGGATGTGGGCGGACCACTCATTAATTTGTTTGTACACCTTCGGCATCCGAGACTTTCGGGGATCACGGCCACGGCCGCCAGGGGTTGGCCGGGTTGGTGCCGTAATCAGAGCTGCGTCGAAGATCCGAACCCGACGGAAGAGGAGCTGGAAGCGGTCTCTCGTCATGAGTCGAGTAAAAGGATGGATAGGATCCTCCCGATCCTGCTGAACTGACCAATACCTTGCGACTTCTGCTTCAGGGTGTATTCCCATAAAATTAGAATGCCTAAGAAGAGGTAGAGTTCGTCTGAAGTCGTTGGCTTCCACAGAAGACTGCGAGAACGTCTTTGTGCTGGCCCGAGCCTCGCGGAGCGGAGGGCGGCCCCGCGTTTGTCCACTTAACCCACCGGCCCACGAGCTCGGCCGGCACGAAGTCAAAGAAGAGGTCTACCGGCTGCCTGGGCAGCTCGAGCACCTCGGCGGGCCGGACGGTGGCATTATCACATCGTTCCGGCGTATAGTCGGTCGTACAGGCAGCAGTAATATCCTCGGATAGTAATCCAAAGATACACGACTTCGCCGAGCCCGTAGAAGAGGCATCGTCAGAATCCATCAAAGAAATGGTGGCAATGTTGGTTTGTATGGATGCACCGTAGTAGAAATCATAGGGATAATTGGTATGGATAGATGTACCAGATGTTGTGAGGGAAAAAAACGGGCCCCTTTTGTGGAGTCAACGTACCGACGTCATGCCGCAGTCGATGGGATAAATTGCAGGTTCACGTTGGTACGCAATTGGATTTCGTCCATAAAACACACACACATACTCTCTCTCCCTCTCCCACCTCTCATTCTTGCAACGAACTCTCCCACCCCGCCAGCAAGCGCCATATTCGCCATGGCTATATCAAATGACCCTGCGGTCAAAAAGACTAATCGACGATTGGTTGAGGCTCGATGAGTTCGCAACTAAACGGTTGTGGAATCATCTCTTTTCGAAGGAGATTTTCTCCGAAAAGGAGTTTGTCATCGGCCCAGAGCAGCCTCCAGTACAATTGCATTCTAGGAGACGGGCCGACTTTATCATCGAACGGTATAGCGGCCGGGAGTTGGTTATCCAGGTCATGGTCGAGCTGAAGAAGGGCAGAGCTGGGCCTCAAGATGTCGTGGATGTGGAGAGTCAGCTATACTCCGCTTGTTATGAGTACTATACGGAACACCCCGAACGGGAAAAAATGTGGACGTGCAGCATCTGCGGGCCCAGGGTCCGCATCTGGGCCTTCGACGCTCAGCTTGACTACCTGGTCCCCGCGTGCCCAGCCTACGGCGCCATAGGGGAGATTTCATCCTACCTCGACTTTCGAACTTCGGAAGCAACTCTGATGGCCTACTCCGATACCATTAAGCAGAATTTGCAACCGCCTGACGCCGTGTTCGAGGTGTCAGAGGCCAGCACATCGGACGAAAGCATGTCGGACGACGTGATCTTGGAAGAGTTGAACCCAGTGAGTGTCACATTCGCTGTTGCAGTCAAAAGGCGCAGCCAGGGACCGAAAATCAAGACGAGAGATGGCACCGGAGTCAGCACTGACAAAGCCAGATGGAAACCAGCGCAATGCATGGTGGATGGGACGATGGTTAAGGGCTTCAAATATGTAGGTAACTCGGGGACGGTTTATCTTTCCATGAATGCCAACAACTACTTCTAGTCTGAGAGTACGTTTACTCGTGTATCCGGGGAATTGCTATCAGTGAGCTTCGTTATAGTCATCACCATTTGTGTTGCTGTCGCCCAAATCTCCAACGTGTCCTCATGAGAGCAAACCGTCCATTGCCCATCATCGCAAGCGTCATTCCCCTGTGACCGGAAACCTCTCACCATCACCATCACCATTGCCATTCGCTTACCTGGGCGCTCTTGCCGCCGAACAACCTTGAATGAGAGCTGTTCCATAGCCCCACATCTCTCGGCTGGATCAACCCCTATGCGACACTGCCCCAAAACCTTTTCCGTGCCATCATGATACTCAACAATAAGGCCCCGAGAAAAAACATCAACAACAGCGAGAACGAAATTTTTGAAATCGGAGCAAAAACAGCGCCACAATACACTCCGAAAGGTCAATTGGATAGCCGTGTGCTCGTCGCGAAGCCCATAACGACGTAGGCACCATGGCAACCCCATGGCCCCAGGAGCAAACATGGCCAACGCACCATCGAGAGCACGCCACTCAACTTAGCAGACACCTTCAGACAGCACTCAAATCAATCGACACCGCAAACGAACACCCCCTTGACCCGAAAGCCGTGAGACTCACTCTCATTGCCACCATCTCCCTGCTAGCCAAATTGCAGAAATTGCCCGAGCTCGGACACCTCCACCAAGCTATTGAGAGTCTACGTGCGGAAAACAAGACAGCCCACGAGAACACCACCCGCGAAACGAAAATCATCAGGATTGCGGTGCAGCAGAGCACAGTCGAACTTACAAGCCCAATGCCATGCGCGCGGTCATCACAGCCGCTAGGGAGGCTTGACAAACTAGCGAGCTGGTGGTAAAGGTCGAAAATGATACCAAAGCACTGGACCCCGATGAATCAGGGGAACGCCGTGCAGTCATACGCCAGCGTGGCCGCCCGAGGAGGACTTGCAGGGAGCACGCATAATCCCCACAGCTAAAGAGTGTCTCAGACTCACGTGGAATCATTGTAAAAACATGAGACATCTCATTATCACTGCCGGTCACACAGCCATGAATCCCCGTAGCCTCAAGACGCACGTAGACCGCGCCATCTCACAGATCAGTAACGAAAATTTCCGCAAGAGGAATGTCTATCTGGTCTATCGTTGGATGGCTTACGTCGATATGGTATCTTCTCGGCGAGGGGAGGCATTGTACTCTTCTATCGATAACAAGGTCGCTTGGACAGCCACACAGCTTGGTAGTAAAGAAAGCGATTCATTAGCGCCGTCATGCTCGCCTTCCGGCAAACAGACCTCGCAGTGCACTCCGAAAAGCATCTGAGGTATATGGAACGTTTGACATCGCCCAACGTCGCACATCCCTCCATGACGAAGCCTCGTCGCGGTGATTTCGCGTACTTCGAAAATCTTATCGATCCCATGTCGAAAATTTGGCAACGTACTGGCTGAATCTGCAGCCTGATAGCAAGCGCTTGGTGAACGGGCCCTCCGCAGGTGGTTAATTGAGCATATCCGCCACCGAGTGGCGGAGCGCTCCCCTGATGTTGCTGCAAACCAGATTGGCCAAATCCGAGCAGGAACAATACCACGTGGTTCATTCAACTCCTGGGCCCCACCGCTGAAGAACTCGTTCTTTCGAGTCTTTCCACCCGTGCGAGAGCTGACGGAGACCCCATCCGAACCATGAGCTTATCACAAGAGAGAGTTTTCATAGCCCGACACCCACACTCGGACCATCCCTTGCGCATTGTGGACAGGAAACTCAGTCTGTACCCACTACAACGACCCTACGTCAATATCCCAAGCGGCTATGGCTCGGTCTTGCTGGCAACACAGCAGCATCGTCAAGGGTCTGGGATGAGCTCGTGAGGGCTATGGCGCACGTAAGCATGCTAAGCTAAGAAGGCATGTCTTGAAGGGCGCCCTCGTACTCCAGGGCTGATGCAGTTAGTTCAGTGGGGCTTCTTAAAATGGTCACCCGCTTAAAATAGGAAATGCGTTCCCAGCCAGCTTTCGCCCTCAGGCATCTCAAAGATATCAGTGTCTTTGCGCACAGCACAGTACAACATGATGGCTTTTGAGGCGGGACTACAGTACATGTTTCGGTATGCCCAAGGCGTCCTGAATTCCCATGCCTCGACGAGCGCTGGATCCAAGCGGCTAGTCCATCAGGATCTTCTCAAGCACGCGATTTCGCGAGGAACTATCACAGCAAAATCCCGCTTACTACCGCAGGTTCTATTCACCTTCTGTGTAGGGGCTGAGTCGAATGGTGTCAGTGACGGACCAGGAAGAAGACTGGCCATTATGGGTCATCCTTGAACGCTCGTAAGGTTCATGCCTAACAAGATAAGGGCCATCGCACCTCAACTAGGACTGGTGGGCAACTCGCAGCAAGTTGGTGAGTGCAAAGCCAATGTTCGATGGAACGCCCTCGAGTGTGGAAACTCTCAAGGTCAAAAGAACTCACCAAAGGTAGGGTGACAGGCGGCCCTGTTTGCGAGCAAACCAACAGGGATATGATGGCAACTCAGAGCAGGGTGTTGACCCACGTGACCACTAGGCTTTGGTAGCACCGGGTAAGGGTTGGAGGTTCTATAAAGGTTGTAATCGCATCTCAACGGTTGGTTGGCGGTTCTGAGCTGCCCCAAAGCCCCAAACACAAGCAGCAAGGCTGCCCATTCGAAGATGGCATATGCGGAGCTCTCCCCCGAAAGGATACCGTATTACCTATCGGACGACAACACCGACCCGAGCCTCAACGTCGTATATGCGCCTTTTTCTCTTGATTCTGATTCGCACTAACTTTGTTTCAGGCCTATCTGAAAGATGCGTACGATCTGCTGCACCACACTCTGAAGAATGAGCCCAGAGCAAAGGTAGACATAAATTCCTTGCCTTACAGCTGCACAATCCTTGATTATGGCATGCGCACTGGAATCTGGTCGATTGAAATGGCAGAGTTGGTCACGAGTCCTCCCATCGTTAGAGTCGCAAAGTTGACCAAATGCAA